ATAACGGTGATTTTATGATGCCGTATAGACTGATTTTTATGACCGTAACCTTACACAGTTACAATAACACGTGGATACCGTAAGTCAACAACAATCACCACAACCCGGTCTATCCATACTACACTCAACACCCCAAGAATACCGCAACCGTGGTACCGCAGTGCCCAAAACCGTGATTTACTCCTCGGCCAACATTTTTAAAAAATGAATGCAATCATTAAACATCAGGTCCAGACCTCGGTTACTCAATTTCCAGCAAACCAAAATTGACGATGATTTCAAGTACCTCATTGATTTTCTCGGTATATCTGGTAGAAAAATTAACTTGCAGTTTAAAACTTTGTTGAGTTTTGCTAATTAACAGATGACAAATTTACGATTCTTTTATTTTCCTTCTTTTTTCTCCCTTCTTAGCTTTCCTAAACGGTAGTGATTGCCCTCTTGACTCTCTGATATCCCTAATATTATTATGGGGAATTTTATTCCCCATAATAATATTAGGGATATCAGAGGGTCAATGAAAGGTAGTAATTGTTCAATTGGTCTTCCTGGAACATATCGATCTTCAGTTATTTAATGACGATGATAGGGTAGTAGTGTAATTTGCTGCAGACGAGATAAACAAAAGTGCTTGAGAAAACTGAATTGAATGAAATTTTTCCTTAACCTAGAGCATGCTAGTGCAGTTTAACTCTTGAATAGCCTAAGATAAGGGAAATACGATTAATTAGGATGTGAAATTTTCTGTACTGATTTCCTGTAGTTGTGTCACTAAACAATAAACTGTTAGCTCTTTCATGAGATTGAATATGAATTGATAACGATAACGAACTGTCACTCTAATATTTGATAATATGAGCTTTATCAGTCTAAACAACAAGGTTAGCATAATATTTGTGGTGTGGAATACTTCAGAGAAGACATTAAATCACTAATCAATTTCAGACAATAAATGGATTTTATTTAAAGAAGGCAATTGTTATAATTGAGAAAGTTACATTAAATTATCACAGCTATAAAAGGAACAAGAATTCATGCCAGTGAAGATGACTAAATGATTCTGTCTGGAAAATTTTCTAAAATCAGAATATCTGCTTCCATAATGGTTTATTTTGTTTCTCCCTATTGAAAAGAAAAAAAAAATGAAAATACATTTTCATTCAATAAATTTGTTTAAGTAGCATTATTTTATTTTCGTCTAATTAAAATAATATTTCATTCGATGGCAATTCGTAATGTAGTCATTGCAGATGTATTATTAAGCTTGGCTTGAACGTTGAATAAGCGTAGCTCGTTCCTCACCATCACGACTATAAAGAGTGGTATGAACATTTGAACCGTATCCAAATGAATCTTCTCCATCGAAGATAAGCTGTTCAGGTGGTGATGAAATGCCATGTCCACGGGCTACAATCTGTAATCAAAGAAAAGAAAAAACGAAAAAAAAAAAAACTTTCCTTAATGAAAAAATTTTAGAACTTTCGTCCTTTTTCTTTCTTAATATTAAATTAATGAAATTTTCATCTTCGTTTCTGTTAAATGTTGTTATAAGTTCAAAGATTCGAAAAAAAAAATGCTTCCATAATGATTCTTTTTAAATTAGGTAATCTTTCTCTGTCAGTTGACGAATTGTATCGTATAGGGGAAAAAATTTAACAAGTTTTTTTTTTTTTTAAAGCATTGATAAACCTTAACACTTTTTCCAGGTTTAAGAATAAAATTATGAGGAAATGTATATATGATTTCTTTTTTCCCATCAATTTTTCTTTTTAATTTCCATTCACCAATTGATTCTTCCTTAGCGCGATGCGTATTTTGTATTATAATAAAGGTGCCATCAGCAGATGTTTCCTGTAAATATCTAAAATTAGTGACATTTTCTTTTTTTTTGCCTTTGTTTACCATGGAAATTTTGAAAATTTCGCAGTAAGCTACGTTGGTAAAAATTTCTACAATAAGCTACTTTGCTTCCATAGAAATTATTACTATTCAATTAGTTTTTGAACTGCAAGAAAAAAAAGACAGAAAAAAACCTGAATGGAAACATTTCCTTTAGCAGATCGTTGAAATGATGCGCGTGATGCAGCCTCACCTTTCATAATTTTCATCGTGTCTGTAAATTGCTTTCAATTCTCGAGTCCATAAAATAAGCATGAATAAATTTATTGGAGATTTGAATTGAATATAAAGAAATAAGTCGAAATCAAAAGAAGATATCACTGATAATGAGAATAATCACTCTTTCGATTATAAGACAGTAAAAATAACGATTATTTTGGCTATTAATCATATCAAGAATTTTTCTATATCTTATTAATTCAATAGTACAGAGGTTTTTTCTCGCTCTTTTGGATTTTTTTCAATATTTCTTGATAATTTTTTTCTATTATTAATAGTTTAAGAAGTGTGAAAATACTAATAATCACCAACCGGTGTCTTCTCGATGAGTTAACTCATGAGTACGTACAACTTGCTCTACCAATTGACGCAGTCCGGCACGATTCTCTTCACCTTCTAGCATCTTGCGGTAAATTGCTATCTCGGCGTCTAATGTCTATAAAAAATAAAAAATAAAAATCGACTAAACATTTTTTTGTACTTCTGGTCTTATTAATATAAATATTATTTGTTGTTTAATGATTTTTTTCCTTTTTAAAAAAAAATTTCGTGTTACAATTTCTTTTAATATTATTATTTATTAATAGAAACTAATGAAATATCAAAGAATATCAATCGATAAAGTTAGTTATCTGGATTTTTTAGCAGTGAGGTAACTGTTCATGGATTGACCTGCTTAGTATCAAGTAGCATTTGAAGTTCAACCATCAAAGCTTGGCATTCTTCACGCATCTTTCGAATTTGCGCATCACGATCATTCAGCGCTGCCTCATATGAACGTTGGTCATCTTCTAGCTGGTAGTTTAGCTCTTGAATCTGTTTTTCAAGCAAAGAATTCTGGAAATTTAGCTAATTATTTTAAACAATAAGTATTACACTGGCATTATACATGCATATATTTATAAATCGTAACTACATTCAATATTTGTACAAAGGATCATTATGATAAATTTTTATATCATGAATAATATAATTTATAAATTATGCTAAGTTTTAAATTGAATACTTACTCGTCCTTCTAAATCGGTCAGTTTGCCACGAAGATCAGCAAGCTGTGTACGCAATCTTTTTACTTCTTCCTTAGCATAACCATGTTCAATGTTTTGTCTAGCCGACTGAGTTTGAATTTCTTGAACTTTCAAACGATACCACGACTCCATATCCGTACGATTGACATTTGTTATCTGGTGATCATTTGCAAAAAGTGGAATTGAAGAAAAAAAAGAATGGAAATTAATGTTGGATGATAATAGTTAAAGATATGATTTATTGTCATCATCATTAAATTAGGATGAAAGTTTGTAAAGAAAAAACCTGATCATATTCAGCACGAATATCACGAATTGCGGATGCTAATTCATTCTTAAAGAATTCTCGATTCTCGGGTGTAGTATCACGAGCGGCAAGACTTTGAAGCTCACGTATCTCTTGTTCATGAACACGTCTGATGAAATCAATTTCTTCCAATAGTGTTTGTACTTGATTTTGATGATCAATACGATTCAGCGTTTCTTGGTCTACATCCTTCAAGATTTTATTTCATTAAAGTTGAAGTAAGACTATTTTGTTTGTTTACCAATAATTGGGACTAGTATTAATCCTATCATCTCTACTATATATATATATAATTTTAATTCCGGAATTGAAATTCCCTAGTTACTATAACAACAAGGTAGGGCATGTCCTGTATTGCAAGAGCAAAGGAAATGATGTACTAATTTATATTTGCTATGTATTGTACATTCATATTTAATAGCTACTACGAGAAATTACAAAAATAAAATTGAACTCTAATTTGCTGAATAGTGATAATTTCTCTTGCTATTATGATTATGGCTACTATGGTCATTTTTTAGCTATTATAGCTATAATGATGATTTTTTGATGTAATTCAACAAATATTAAATAATTATGGATTACTTGCAGACGAAACAAATTTTTTGCAAATTATATTATGAAAAAAGATGCCAAGCGAATGATACTTTCTAATCAATTTTAAAAATTTGCCAAAAAAAAGGAAATTTTGGAAAACAAACAGTTCGTGTTCGTTGCAGTTCTCCCAATAGTCGCTGATTTTCTTTCTTGATACGCATCACTTCCTCTTCCAATTCCGTAATGCGACGTCGTAAAGCGTTAATTTCAGCTTCAATTTGTGAAAGCCGTAAAAACATGTCATCAATTTTTTTACGATCTGTATCACGTGATTGTAGTGCTTCTTCATATCTTTAACACATTTCGATAAATTTCCAACAATCAAATGAAAGGATGTTTCGTTGAATGAATGAATTGAATGAGATTGAATTGCTATCTGTTAAATTCTATGAGAAATATTCGCTAATTATAATTTTTTTTTGTTCTTTTTTAAAAAGCAAAAATTTTTCTGAAATGAAAAAATTGGACGAAAGAAAAATTGCTTTCATGCATTAAAAAGGTACATGGTAATGTACCTTTTTCGATAGTCGGATAATTCATCTTGCATTTTACGGATTTGTTTTTCCAGATCATCACGTTGTTTTATCGTTTCATTAATCAACTTACGCGCATCCTTAAAATTATACAATCATAAAATAATTTAGCTTTAAAAGCTTAAACAAAAAAGGAAAATTATAAAAATTCTTCCGTCACCTATTGCTAATCTTTGCAAAACTAAATAATATAAAATTTTAAGAGTTGAATGAATGAAAGAAAAAAACAAAAGAAAAGAATTTATGGAAATATGGTGAGAATCAATTACCGAAATTTCTCCTTCATACATTTGCTTGATGTTAAATGTATCTTTTCCCCATTTTCCACGAAGAAGATCCAAATCCGCTCCTAATTTTCGATTTTGTGCTTCCAGGAAACGAACCTTCAAATGATTTTTGTTATTTAGGATTTCACGTTTTATTTATAATATATTTGATAAATTAAATTCAAAAAGATTGGAAAGTTATCTGAGTGAATTAAGCTTTTCATCTTATGCCTCTTCATATCTTATTCTAAAGTATTCGAATTTTAAACTTTACATTCAAAATTTGGAATCAGAATAATTTCTCACACATACTTCATTTTGATAGGAATAAACATTTACTACTTTCTCTTTTACTATTAACTTATTATTTTTGCTCCACGCTATCCTTGCTGCAGTCAATTCAAGAATAATTTAATTAAATAAACTATAAAAATCTCAGGATGTATTATAGCACTTTCATTACGATTATAAACAGTAATAATTATGCGTCATTTTGAGCAACTAAATTCCAACTATGTCAATACAGAAATTTATACTTGTATTCTGTTACATGATAGCTTTAATCCAAATTATATAATTGTTTTGCTTAAAAATAAAGACAAAATGATAACTATTCAATGACTTTCATTATTAGCTCACGTGACATTTGTCATGTAAAAATATCACGTAAAACGTTTTATCATATCTACCGCATAAAATGTTTTGGTTCTCATTAACTATAAGACGAACCGATCGGAATTTAAAAATGAAGAAAATCAGCAAAATTGTATTTTTTCTTTTTGAACTAAAAGCATGCAAATGCATCTAATGCATATTAGTTAATTTCTCATGCTTTCAAACAACAATATTTAATGTCATTTAAGTGCAATTATAATGACATTGGCGAAAATAATTAATAATGATAACATTAATAATAATTATTACTGTGAAAAGCAATAATAACAAATGGTAATAATAGTTAATAATGCTAACAGTAATAAATAAGAGGAATAATAATCTATAATAAATAATAATCATTAATAATAAATAATAGTTGCTAACTAATAACAATCCATCAGTAATAACAGTGATAATGATATTGATGATAATTATTTTTGCCTGAAAATTTTATTTGCATTATTAAAAAAAATTGTATACAATACCATTCAAACTCTTTGTTATTTTTTTTCAAATATGATAATTAAAATTTCCTAAAATTACAGTACTTTTTTAAAGAGTATAAATTAATCTTTTTATGCCTTTGATACAATACCATGCAAACTCTTTGTTATTCTATAATTAATTACAGAATATTAATTTTTTCGTTATTATTTCCAAAATGATTACTCCATTATTCCTGAATAACGAAACTTCCTCAACGAATCATTTTTCCTTTTCATGCAATTTACCTTTTCGAAAGGAATGTCATTAGAAAATTTTAGCTTATTTTTGCCAACTATATTTTTTCAAAATATAACCGATAATTTATGCTAAGTAAATTCAGCTCAAAATTACAATTTACAGATAAGAGTATAAATTTGCATTGTCTGTTTAAAAAAAGATTTTAAGATTAAATTTTTAACTGTGAAAATTTTATTCAACGTTTAAAATATTTCTTGTTTTTATTCGTGACGACGTCGTAAGTCCTAAAATTTCAACAAGTAAAAAGATGAAGGCGAAGGAATCAATAAAAGAAATTGATCAGTCCTAAAAGTTACTTTTAACACGTAGACTGTTGGCAAAATAGGCGAGTCAATTTATAACAATTGAAAAGATATTTCAATCGTTTTCTATTTAATCTAAACTGAGGAATATAAAGGGATTGTAACAATTAAAATTAGATTAAGATAGCTAAAACTGCTGGCCATTATAAAAATTAGCCCAATAGATCGATCAAATGACTGATTTAAAATTACTTGTAAGATCAATTTCACTTGGCAAATAAATGAATTATCAGATTCTTATAAGTTCGATCGAATTCTTTAAAAATATCTATAAATTATTTTACTTACTTTTTCAATATAGGTAGCTAAGCGGTCGTTCAAGTCACTCATCTCTTTTTTCTCACGTTCACGGCTATCGCGTATGGTTGACGCAGCATTCTGACCAAACGGTGATGCACTTAACATTCCGGAACCGCTTGTCAACGATGTCGTTGATCCAACTTCCGTAACAAACTTTATGGTACGACCATTTGTAACTGAAAAATAATGATAAATAGTTTAGTTGCAGTTGTTCATTTAACATATTTTATTATTTTCTTCAGACATATCCTATTTTAAAAGTTTGGTTTCTCGTTTACTAAAAACTGAAAAACTATTTAGTGCCACAGAATTAGCCAATCTCATGTTGCAGTATCAGCGTCATCAAAAAATCATTGGCTATTAATTGCAAGAACATTAATTAATTTAGCAAAAGTATTATAGTCATTCATGGATGACGATCGAATAGTTATTTCTCCTTCCCTCTCCCTCAGATATAATTAATTAATATGCAATCTTTCTGTTCAAAATCTCAAGCTCAAATAGCGTGTATCGTTTAAACTTACCAGCTGATTCACGTAAACGTCCGCCAAGGTGCTGACGTGATATTGGAGCAGAAACAAATGACATGATTTCCTAATTTAGCAAATGCACAAGAAATGATCAAAACGTGAAGGATAAAATTTTCAGAATCTGCAATGTCTGTAAGATTAATTTAGTTATTTATTTGTTATTCATGTACAAAAATTATTACATGGAATTTTCAGAAACTGAAACGGTCTGTATCATTAATTAATAGCTAGATTAATTATAGATAATTTACTGATAGCAGGAAAAAACTTGGAAGTAAACTTCTACCATCGCATACCGATATCGATAATTAGTAATTTATTTGTCCAGGTTATCTGTCAATGATTTAATTTATATTTCATCAAAATTTTTGTTTGTTGAAGACAAGAAAAAAAACCCTTTTTTCAAAAGATTGTTATGTTAATATAACAGTTTTTTCAGAATTCCGTTTTTTTCCTTCCTTCCAATAAATTACTGTAAAATTTAGAGATGGTAATTAAAAATGTATGCAAGATATGAAGTTAAAACTGCTTGGAAGATTAAAAATTACTGAAGTTTGACAATATGAAGTAAACGGAATGATTGATTAATTATGAATGGTTAGTGAGAATGCGTTAGGATAGATTTATACGAAATTATTCATTTTATTGCTGAACTGTTAGAAATATTCGATTAATTACAGAATTATTCGACAACACATATGACTCGAATATTGAAAATGATTATAATAATAACATATTCCAATATTTTTTAAAAATTGTTTCAAATTTTCATACAGCTAACTTCAAAAATGATTTCTCAGTGTCAAAATTGCCTAGAAGAAATGAAGAAGAAAAAATTTAAAAAATGAGAAAAGAGTAAAAATTTGTGCACTTTACTTATTATTCCTTTTTTTAAATGTATCATTTATTGCTATTATTCTTAAATGAGTTAGAAGTATTTGCTCAATTAATGATTTTATTCCTCGATAATTTCAAATAAAATAACTGTTTAACTTTTAACAATTTTTCCAAATTGCTACTAATTTCATTCCTCTAAATAAAACAAATAATGGTTGATGCAATTTTTACAGGAATAAAAATTTAACTAATAAATCATTGAAAAAAAAAGGAAAATGGTTCACATTTTGTAATTCTAACAAAGCAATTTTTTTCAATAAAACAGTTTTTATACAGATTAAAAAAAAATTCAAAAAAAAGATTGAAGATAAAAATAAATTCATTGAAAAAATCGCGTGTTTTTCTACAAAACGCGTAAATTTTATAGAACGACTAAAAACTTTATCTGAGCTCATTATTCCATTATCTCAACAAAACAATTATCAGCATGAAAAGCAGCAGTAATAGTAATAATAATTAGTAATAATAATTAGTGATAATAACTATAATAGTAAGTGATGATAATACCAATAAGTATAATAATTAATAATAATAACTATAATAGTAATAATAAAGTGTTAATAAGAATTAAAATAACAATAAATGTAATAATGCTTATTATTAATAATAATAGCAATAATAATAATCACAGCAGTAATAATAACTAATGATGATAATAATAATACCAATCTGTTGTTGTTGTTGTTGCTGTTGTTGTTC